AGCTCACAGAACATTCCTTGATCAACTGGAGTGTTGGGGTCCCTGGACCTCTAACAAAACATCATACATACCTTCCCTTCATGTGTTTGAAACTGATCAAATCTGGAATAAACTGATGGTTGTGAAGAAAAGACTTCTAAGCAGATTACTATTGAGACTAACATCTCAAGGGGAATGTCTGACTTACTGTGAGAAGTGTGAACATATGCCACATGTGTCAACCACTCGTGTCTATAAAAGTAAGCTTAAGGCAACTTCTACTTGGAGTCATTCATCAGAAGTTGGTTGAAATTGTTCTGTGTATTTTGAAAGCAATGGATGTACATTGAACACTTTCTGATTTAGACTTTCCAGAAATTGGAGAGGCCCTCTAACCAATGAGTTGGAATTAACAGCATGTCATTGGAGAGCTTGTCACCAAGCGCCGAGTTCACGTGTGGCTAGAGGGACGCGCACAGAGCGCCTCGTTCCGATCCGGCCCACCGCTGTGCCTGTTCTGCAGAGCCCCCTGGAGAAGAGTCCTCCGTGGCCTGTGCACCGGCCCAGAGCCTCAGAGGCTTGCAGCCGGGTCCTGAACTCACTTGCAGCCGAGGAACAGCCAGTGCATCCAGAACCAGCTGACCACCAGCATGATGAGGGAGATGGGGAAGCTGAAGAGGAACCAGGTGCCGAAGTTGACCACCTCTGCGGCCGGGTACTGGCTGGAGGGGAGACAACCGGGTCAGTGACTAGAAAAGGTGGTTTCCACAGGGCGTATTGGAGTCATCAGGGAGGCACACAGAGGGCTAAGGGGCAGGGATCGTGGCAACAATTTCTAGACAAGTATTATCTAGATAAACACGATCTTGAACTCACTTACTTGACAGCTGCATCTCTCTAGAGGCCAGCAAAGAATCATGAATTAAGCTAAAAAAAGACATCTAGGCAATCAGTATGGATATCGATAAAGGTGTATAGGAGGAGCCCTGGTGGTGCAAATGGTTAAGCACTCATCTGCTAACCTAAAGGTCGGCAGTTCAAACCCACCGGCCATCTCTGTGGGAGAGAGACCTGGTGATCGGCTGCCCTAAGATTAACCCCCTGCTGTCAAGTCAAGAGCAGATCAGGCACAGAGAGGAAGCACAAGTGAGGGGAAGACACAGGCCACGAGGTCACCAAGGAAGCAAGGAGCAGAAGCTGAAGCGTGACAAGGACCCTCCCCCAGAGCAGAGAGAGAGAAAAAGTTGGCACCGGAATTGGGACTCGTAGTCTCCTGAACTGTGAGGAAGGAGCTCAGGTGACGTCGTGGGTTTACCTGGGAAGTGGCTTACCTGCGTCTCAGCGAGTGCGACTGTAACAGAAATACCACAGGCAGTGGCTTTTACAAACAAATTCATCTTCTGACAGTTCCCCCCCAAAAAACAAACACACTGCCATCGAGTCGATTCCGACTCACAGCACCCTTAGAGGACAGAGTAAAACTGTCCCATAAGGTTTCCAGGGCTGTAAATCTTTACAGAAGCAGACTGTTGTCACGTTTCTCCCATGGAGTGGCTGGTGTGTTCGAACCACCGACCTTTTGGTTAACAGCCCAATGCCTTAACCACTGCACCACCAGAGCTCCTCCTGGTACAGGTAAGTTATATTTTACCACCCAAGAAGTAGACTAAGGGAATATGAATTGGCCCCACCATCCAGTGAACCAGAGACTCAGAGCCTGGCCACAGTAAAATGGGGGTGAGGAGCCCTTGAGGATTCTGGGGGATCAGGTCTTCAGTGTTCATTGAGGCTCTCTCCCCTTCCTGCCCCCACCATCCCTCCCTCCCTTTTTTCCTCCTTCATTCTCTGAATGAAAGTCTTGTCTCTTCCTGCCTATGATTAATTTCTTTACCCTCCCTCCAGTTGATTCTTGCTTTCTCAGTGACATCACTCTGCACGCCCCCCCCCACACCCCCAGTTTTTCCTCTTCCTCATCTGGATCCTCCCTATCCTCATTTCCATTTAAGTCCTTCCATCTTAAAAGCCCCTTTTGACCCTACTTTACCCTCGGCAATCATCCTAGTCAAAATCGACTTGACGGCACCTACCAAGGACAGTCGTCCCATCTCTCCATTTCTTCACCTCCATCTTACTCCTCAATCATTGACATTGGCTTCCTTTCCCACCACTTGACCCAACTGCTCTAGCTTCGGTCCCCAGCAACCTCCAAGTCACCAAATCAAACGGGCATACTTTAGTCCTTTTCCGTCTTGGTCATGCAGTGGTTCTAAACACTGTGAACCACTCTTTCTTTCCAGAAACACTCTCTCCCCTTGGGTAGAGGGACTCCAGATTTTCCTGGCTCCTCTTTCCTGTCTGATGAGGTTTTATTCTCTTTCTCTGGTAGTCTACTCCAAATGCTTGAGCTTAACGAACATTAAGCCAATCTACTGATTCTGAATAGTCTCCCTCAGTCATCTCATCCAATCGTATGGCTTCAATGACCAGATGCATGCCACCAGAACCAGCAACCTTCTAATTTGCGGGGCCCAGGGCAAAATGAAAACATGGGGTCCCTTGTTCAAAAATGATTAAGATTTTCAGACAGATGTAGATGCATGTGGGCACCAGGACCTTGTGGCTACGTGGGCTGAACGCCCAGGAAGCCAGTCTGGCTGCCACGGACTCCTCCTCGTGCCTTCATCCTGTGCCTCTTGGGACTCAGCTCTTCCTCACCCTCTAAGTCAACATGTCCAAAGGCTTCCTTGTCTTTCCCCTCCAACGTGCTCCTCCTTCACTCAGGAAAAGGGCAGCTCTGTTGATTCAGCAGTTGAAGCCAGGAACCTGACAGCCAGACCCCCTTTCCCTCTCCCAGGCTCTTTTTCATCCTACCAAGGCCCATCAAGTCTACCTTTGAATGTCTCCAACCATGTCTCAAATCCAGCCATGTCTCCCGCCCTGCTGCCCCCGGCCCCAGCCATAGTTGGCTGACCACACCACAGGACATCTGCAGCCCTGAGCTGCCTTCCCACTGCCTGTTCTCTCCTTTCCAACCGAGTGTCCATTTTCCCATCTAGAATGCATTTTCAAAACTGTAAAGCTGACCACCTTGCCCCTGCTTACAATTCTCCAAAGCCTTTTCACTGCCTCCAGGATGAAGTCCAGCTGCCTCCTGGGCCTTGCAAGGCCCTCTGTGATCTGCCCGCCTCCCGGGACCTCATCTTTTGCCCTCTATCATGGTGTCATACGTGCTGTGCTCTCTTGCCTTCAAACCCCACCCAGACACAGCTTCTCTGCTAGAAAGTCTGCCCTTGTCTGAATCACTGGCCCCATCCTTCAGTCCCTCTACAGGGCTGCCCTTCCCCCTCTAGACTGGGGGAGCATCCCCTACTGGGCTCTCCCAGCAGGATCCTGTCTGCCTAACTAACGATCTGATTCTCGGTTCCCTCTTGGTCCAGAAACCGTCCCACTGTCTGCTCCATCCCCAGCACCCGGTCCAGTTCTGACACAGGGTAGGTGTTTCATAACGACTGTCACCCGAGTGAAGGACTGACTTGTTGAAGTGTTCCAGGAAGATGAGGCTGGTGGAGGTGCCGATGATGGTGGTCAGGCCCCCGATGGTCGCGGCGTAGGAGACGCTCAGGGACAGGCACTTGCAGATCATTTGGTCGTGCTGGGACCTGTACTTTTTGCTCAATTCCTGGTTCCTGGAGCTGCGGGTCAGGACCCGTGGCTTCTCCTACCAAAGGAAAACCAGTGAGTCTCTGCAACCCAGCCTGGCTGGCTGGCATGCCGAGCCTGCGAAGCTGGAAGCACCAACGGCTGGCGCTATCAAGAGACAAATCCCAATCCCACTCCTGCCATTTACCAATCTGGGTATACGTCCGAGCCTCAGTTTCTTCTTCTGTGAAATGGGGAAAATGATCATTTCTTTGCCGGACTGTTATGAAGAACAAATGAAGTAACAGTAGTCAACGGTGGAAACAACCCAAGTGTCCGTCAGCAGAGGAATGATAAACAAAATGTGTTGTAGCCATACAATGAGCAGCCTAAAGAAAAATGAGGTCTGATACCTGCTTCAGTGGCTGAGCCTTGAAAACATCAGGCTGAGTGAAATAAGCCCAACACAAAAGGGCAAATATTGTCCCATCCCACTTATATGAAATATCTAGAACAGGCAAATCCATTGAGAAAAAAGATGAGTGGTTACCAGGGGACGAGGGGAGGTGGGAATGGGGACTTTAAAAAAAAAAAGGAGAAGAAATGAAACAATATATTAAAGCACTTAGAACCCTTCCTGGTGTTTAACGAATGGCGAGCTATTATTACTTTCTTGTTAATAATGCTATTGTTAATATTGACAGTATTTCTTTTTGCTCGACTGCCATTAAGTCTGGTTGCTTTGTGTTTGACCAGCAAACAGAAGACAGTTGTTCTGTGGGCAGTTAGAACAACTGCTCGATGGGGAGAGGATGAAATGAAGCCTCGGATCACAGTGTGTGCCTCTCGGCCCCTTCCTGCCTCTCTCCTCCTCTTGCCAACGCCCTCTTTGCCCTCCCTGCTCTTACTCCCCGGGCTCTTCCTCTATGCATATCAGCCTCAGTCTGGCTGCAGTCCCCTCAGGCCCCTCTCAAGCTCAGATGAGGGTGTTGCAGACCCCTGGTCTCAAGTGCAGATTAAAGAAACACATGGGTCCTGTCCCTTCCGCCCAGACCATTCATCAATTCTTTTATTTTTAATCTTTACTTATGTTTATTTTTTCATCATGGTAAAAATATATATAACCAAACATTCCCAATTCAACAATTTTTACACGTGCAACTCAGTGACACTGGTTATAGTCATCATGCTAAGCAACCACCACCAGTGTCCATTTCCAAATTATTCCACCCCCCTTAACTGAAGCTCGGTGTCCTCTAAGCTAAACCCCCTTTTCCCCTCCCACCACCCCTGGTAACCACTAATAAACTTCGGTCTCTAGAATTTGACTGTTTCATGTAAGTGGGATCATACAGCATCTGTCCTTGTCTGACTGACTGACTTCACTCCGCATTATGTTTTCAAGGTTCATCCAGGTGGTAGCACATACCAAGTGTTCAGGGTTCATTTCTTTTTAAAACCAAAACCAAACCAAACTCACTGCCATGGAGTCGATTCCAACTCAAAGCGACCCCCACTGGGTTTCTGAGGCTGTGAATCTTTATGGAAGTAGATGGCCCCATCTTCCTTCCGTGGAGCAGCTGGTGGGTTTGAACCACTGACCTTCTGGTAGCATTTCCCTTTATGGCTGAATAATACTCCATTGTGTGTGCGGAGCACATTGTGTTGATCATTCACCTGCTGATAGCCATCTGGGATGTTTCCACCTTTCGGCTGTTGTGCACAGGGCTGCAGGAACACTCACTGGTATTCAGCTGCTGATTCTTCATGAGACTAGGGGAGCCGTGGCCCAGAGGCCAGTGGGCCAGCCAGAGGAGTGCTACTTCGTCTCACTTTCAAAAGCCCTTCACCTGTGCCCCCTCCTCAGGAAGGCCCAGGTCAGCTGAGGTTGCACCTGCATAACCACCTTGAAGAACTAACTGGAAGGGACCCTAGATTCTCTGGTCCAGTGGTTTTCCATGATCAATCCTATCTTCTCATGAAGTTTTACATGCAACCCGATATGCAAAATGTAACCACAGTTCTTAAGTAGCATCTGTTTTTTGACTGGAAATATACCATGGGGGGTGGTTGCAGGGACTCAGGGAGACGTGGATCTGAATCACGGTGCTTCTCCGACAAGCTCAGAGGCCTGGGACACGTGGTGTCATCTCTGCCTCATTTGCGAAGGAGCTCAAATCACTGGCTCCTGAGTCCAGGGAGACTGAGCAGAGATGCTTAGTGTGGTACTTGGTACATGATACGTTTTTAATAAACGGAGATGTTCCAGTGACAATATCAAACTGTTGAGTTGGTATGGGCAGACACAGACATTTGGAACAACAATCTTCTACTGTCTCAACATCCACTTTGTTTATGTACCTGTTTCAGTGGCACCAAAGCAGTCCCCATGGAGTCGACCCTGACCCACTGGGGACCCAGGTCCTGCAGGGTCCAACAGCTGGTTCTTCAGAAGCGGGCCACCAGGCCTTCCTTCCGAGGCCCCTCTGGGTGGACTGGGCCCACCAACCTTCTGGTTAGCAGCTGAGCAGGTTAACCTCTGCGTCACCCAGGGCCCCTTCAGGGGTACACTCCAGATCAACCAAACCCAAACTCACTGCCATCAAGTCGATTCCGACTCACAGCACCCCCAGAGGACAGAGTGGAACTGCCCCATAGAGTTTTCAAGGCTGTACATCTTTAGAGAAGCAGACTGCCTCACCCTTTTCTCACAGAGCAGCTGGTGGGTTCGAACCACCAACCTTTTGGCTAGCAGTCCAGCGCTTTAACCACAGTCCCCCAGCCCTCCTTCTTTAGTGGTACAGTGCTGGGAAAATCCTTATCTGCACAGAAGTAGTTGTCCTACAGTCTCCCCATACTGAGATATCTGCTGAGTCCCAGAAGCACCTCTGAGGGAGAGTGTGAAAACTCAGACCTAGATCTGATGCCTCAGCTTTAAAGCTGAAGAAACTAGGACTCAGCAGGAGGAAGTGACGTGCTGTTGCCAACAGTGAGCCGTCAACCCCCAGGGCATACGCAAGGCACAAATGTATGTGGGTAAGGGGCCCAATTCCAGTCACAGCTCCACCAGCCAGGCCTGGCACCCTCCCCACCTCCAAGCCAGGCCCTCGGGAAGCTCAAGGCCTCTCACACAGGAGACAGGGTCTAGTGCACGGTTCTGTTACCTGGGACGCATGCTGCTTCTTGCCCCGGGGGGTTGCTGTTTGGACAGGGTTGGTGATCACAGCCACACCGTTCAGGTTCTGTGGGGACAAAGGGCACCATCTCAGGGTCAGAAAGTGGATGTGGTGAGCCCAGGGTCTGGAGAAGTGCCACTGAGCACTCCAGGGGTACCCTACACCTCAGTGCTGCAGGGATCAGAGACCGAAGCCAGGGAGAGCAGGTGCTGGGGGACCCCCTCCTGCCTGCCGTCATTTCTAGGGGTTCCCCTACAGCCAGCATCAAGCTCCCCATTTAAAGAGGTTTTTAAAACCTGGCAGGGCATGGCTCTGGCCTTTTGGGATAGCCTGACT